CCCCCCCCATGCCAGCTGAGGCCTGAGCCTGACTGAGTGACCAGTCAGGGGCAGGGGACACATAGAGCTGGCCTTGCCTAATAGAAATTCAAAACAGTCTCCAGTTGTTCATTGAGAAGAAAGTGCACAGTTATCTCTCAGACATGCTCCCGCACTCTCCACCCTGCCACACTGCCTTCCACTGCAGACAGTGAATTCGGCAAGAAACATCTGCAGAAAGGCGCTTTCCACTTAAGGGCAGTGTGAAGATTCATCTTCCTCCCTATGCCAGTGCCACAATATTGGTGTCAGGGATGCTGGGGGTGAACATTTTTGTCTGAACAGGAGTTAAGTGGGCCTGGGCCTGAGCTCTGGCTCTGCCATTTATAACGACCCTCATGACCTTGGGTAAGTTGTTCCACATCTCTGAAGTTCAGAGTTTTTTACAAAATGGTAATAAAATTGCCTCTCTTTCTCTTTGCAGGGCTTTGGCAGCATAAACGAGATACTTTGTTTAAAGCACCACGTCTGGGTCAGAATAGCTATTCCACAAATTATTATCATTATTGTTGTTGTTACTACACTGATTACTACGCAATCAAGAGAGGCCCACAGACCTGGAACCTAATATGAATGAGACCGGGTCTATCAGAAGTGGTGAGAGCTGGATTTGAAAGGGTGCTAGAAACACTGGCAGGCCCCTTCTTATGCCTGCTGATGCTCCTAGTGGTCACTGACCCCAACTCTGTTAAGATGACTTTTGTGGGCGAGGTCACCTGCTGCCTAGATCACATGTGCATGTTTAGATGAAACACCCAAGGGACCTCCCTGCTGGAGCAGTTCCCCAGTCTCTTGTGAGTTCAGACCTGTCTGCATTGTGAAGTGATTGGCAGGACTCTGCACCCACATACCCTGATCTCTACAAAGTCTTCTCATTGCAGCCCCCTCTCTTCTCCTCCTGCTCCCCAAATCTACCCTCTTTCCTACATCACCCCTTCTGTCTTCCTTCCCTCCATCTCTTTCTTCTGTCTCCTTTCCAGTCTCCCTTTCTACTTTTTCCCTTCCCTGTTTTTCTCTCTTCTCCCATTTGACTCTACTAAATGGATTATAAAGTGAAACAAATGGATAGTTTTGACTTCCACTGCATTTACAAATATATTTTTATGGTGCTTATTAATAAAAATAAACCCAGGTTCTTCTGGGCTTATTCACTAGCAAAACCCAACTGAAATTAGTATGAGAAGCTTTGTAATTATGTATGAGCCTTAATAAGTTTTTTCTGGGGGAGGGAGTTCTTTGGCTCATGATGGGACTCCAACAATGGGACAATACTTATCCATTTGACTTGGGTGGAACAAAAATAAGACATGCTTTAGTCGCTGCTGTGGGGACAATATGGGAGATCTCTCAAGCTAGGAAGCAGAAATACATAGAATTTTTCTGAAATGGCTCAACCATGTGCAGAGCGAGATAGTTCCTGGGGGAAAGGGGTCTGAAGGACATGTACTCACATGTGCAGCACAGGCCTTGTTTCCTCACGCCCATCAGCATGACGTGGCAGAAATTGCAATAGGTTGGTTTCTTGAAATGCTTCAAGGTCCAGGCGTGCCTGCCATCCCCCTTGGAGCCCTGTAGGGATAGCGAGGGAATGGGATGCAGAGCGGGCACCCTGGAGCTAGCAGAAGCCTGGGACTGCTTTCTGTTATATGAGTTCTTTATCCTCAAAAGACTCTCTCCTCATATTTGGAAGACAAGATATACATTTATTTTACTGATGTAAGTACTCTTCAAAAAAATGGAAATTAAAACAAAGTTCTTTGTGTGTGTGTTTTTTAAAATTAGCAAGATTAAAAATTAAGAATATCTGAGCAGGAGTATGTGTGTGTGGGATAACATAAGTCCTCTTCTACATGGCTGGTGGAAGTGCAAATCAGAACAAATTTCTATCATCTATCTATCTATCATCTATCTATCTATCTATCTATCTATCTATCTATCTATCTATCTATCTATCTATC